AACATGAGATACTCTTGCAACAGTTTCAAGATGTCAAAAATGCCTGGACTAGAACATAAGGGGAACACAATGATGTGGAGCTGAGAGTGCATGGCAAAATTGATTGGATCTGCCAAAAATTATGGAATCATACCAAGGAAACCACCAGGGGGACAAAACCCTAAGAAAACTGTATGACAACAGATGTTGACAATTCTGAGATTTATAGACAAAGGAAAGATCTTAAATATGTCACTGTCTCACTGGTGATGATTAACCCATTCGATCATAGTGAGATTCCCTGATGTGTTTAAGATAACCTGTCAATTCTGTCTATTTAGGTACAGGGAAATTTGCATTGTTTGCAGAGATTAACTAACAGCATCATTTACTGAGAAGCAAAGGCAAGGCAAAGCAATCATAGACATGTTGTTGAATGCTGATGATGTTATTGGGAGTTTTGTGAGTATTTTCTTAAAGGGAAATCATCGGTGACTCTCATGCATGAAGAGATCCTATCTCTGTCATGTGTCTGGAATGACTGAAATAAATAAACTGAAATAGTTTTTTTTTTCTCACCTTCTAGTAACATTTTTTTTTGCTATATCCAAATAAGTGTGTTGCATGAGTTTCTTCCACTCCTTCAGCCAATAGCCACTGAGATACCAGCCCATTGAGGTGTGGTCTCTCTCTCTTTCAAAAACCAACATTTACCTTCAGCTTGATCTCTTGCTTCCAGTTTCCATTCCGGCCTCTATGCTTCTTTCCTGATCCCGCTGAGGGCTTTTGTCAGGGATGGTCATCTGTAAGTTTTTGCCCTTTAAAGATATAATCATTCTTTTAATCACAATTCTAAACTGGTGTGGGGGATTATTTGACTAAGGAAAGGAGAAAGCATACATAGAGGCAGGAAACCTTACCTTTGCAAATGACCCATTTGGAGGCCCTACTTCAGGCTCCTCTCTTCTCCTATTCTTGTTTTTCTTTTTATTAGTTTAGGACAAGATTAAAACTCAATATAAATGTCTGTGAACACTGAATGAGTTAAGTATGTGTGACCACCTTGATGTCTGCCTGTCTGACAACAGGGGCAGAGTTCATGGGCATCTGACGCATAGCACAGGATTGTCAGCAATCAATCTCTGGTCCACCTAACTCTGCAGCATAAGAGTTGTCATGGTTGCTCATCTGATCTTCTTCATATGATCTCCATCCACCGAGATGTCAAAAAAATCCTCCCCTGAAAAGGCAAGTTCTTTTCCAATGAAAGATTATACAGCAGAAGAGACATGGAAGATTTATTAGGGCAAGCTCTTGAAAGGATAAAGTGATGGTAGGAATTCATTGCTTAATTAAATAAAGAAACTGCTTCCCCTGTTAATTTAGAACATAGGTGGGAGGAGAAAGATAACAGAATGCTGGGAGAAAGAAGCAGTGTGCTCAGAGACACCATGATCCACTCTCGTGGGAAGACGTGATAGCTCTCCTCTCTGAGGCAGAGGGCAATGCAGCCAGCAACCAGGTTAGACCTGTTGAATCTTTCCTGGTGAGCACACTCGTGATGCTACATAGATTATTAGAAATGGGTTAATAGGCTAAACTAATGGGCCAGGCAGTGTTTAAATGAATCATTTGTGTGTAATTATTTCTGGACATTAGCTAGCGAGGCTGCCCTGGTGCTGGTTACACAGCTCCGCTGCTCAAATTACTACAGAATGGCACTCAGACATGTGGAAAACTGAATCCACTGAAAGCTTGAGAAAGCCCGGGATAGAGTAAAGCATGTTTTCTTTTTAGCAGCTATATCTCGGGTCTGCACTACTTGCTAGTAGCAAGCAAGCACACTCATTTAAGAGAAGATTCCTGACTCACCTTCAGCTGCAAAACCCTGCTGCTGTTAAGTGGTCCTGCCACGAAACATTTAAATGGTGTTGATAAAAGCCAGCTGAATGCTTGTTTGTTTTCTGCATTAGCAGGAAAAAAAACTGTGATGTTTTAAAATGCCGGAATTCTGGGCCATCCTGCCAGAACAAACTCTGACTGTTTGAGTCAGGAGGGCCAGCTACAAAGAGAGGGCTTGAGTGTTGTCTTTTGCAGCTTGTTTGATGGCAAGGACCTTGAAACACTGTAGACTTGTGGCACTGAATGCGGCTCTGGCCGGTACCTCAGCCATAAGGTGGAATGACATAAAGCTAAGGAATAGGCTACATCTAGCTGGCAAAGCCACCTTTTCTTCATATTGAGATTGCTGTGTAATTTAAGGATTCATGTGGTCAAAAAAACAAAGAGAGATATTGAGTAAAGAGAGATTCAAAGACAAAGAAAAGTTTTAAATGATTTACAGTGTGTTAAAAATATGTGCAGGCTAAAAGTTGAAGTTCTTAAAGTTAAAATAAAATGAAGAGAGTTGTTGGTTGCAGTAGTACACACCTTTAATCCCAACACTTGGGAGGCAGAGAGAGATTGACCTCTGTAACTTCAAGGTGTGGTAGCACATACCTTTAATCCCAGTGCCGAGAAGGCAGAGACAAACAGGTCTCTGTGAATTCAGGTGTAGTACCATACACCTTTGATCCCAATGCTGGGAGGCAGAGACATGTGGATCTCTGAAACTTCAAGGACAGCCTGTTCTACAGAGTTATTCCAGGTCAAAGATACAGAGAATCTGTCTCAAAAGGCAAAAAATAAAAAGGAAAAATAAATTAGAGCTTAAATTGAAACTAACAAAGATGGAAAATACACAGAGAATTTTGATACTGTATGCTATTGTGCTCTGTTTGAATCATTTGAATGCTGAGGAAGGAGCAATAGCTGCTAAAAGTTATTTGTTTATAAATGCTGCTGAACTAATCCCACATAGATATTTTGAAAGTGCCTTGACTTTAAAATTTGGATCTAAGGACATGATGCTTTGGAAAGGAGGTTCTTATTTTGTTTTCAGAGAGGGTGAGAGTCTGTGGACTGCCGCTATCCCAATATGGTATTACGGATCAAGACTTTCCTCATATGACCTCCGTCCACAGAGATGTCAGAAAAATCCTTCCCTAAGAGGGCAAGTTCTTTACAAATGAAAGATTATACAACAGAAGAGACATGGAAGATTTATTTGGGCAAGCTGTTGAAAGGATAAAGTGATGGAAGAAGGTCATTGCTTAATTAAATAAAGAATCTGCTTCCCTTGATAGGTTAGAACATAGGTGGGAGGAGTAAAGAGAACAGAATGCTGCTAGAAAGAGGAAGTGAGCTCAGAGATGCCATGCACCCCTCTCCCGGGCAGACACGGGAGCTCTGCTCCCTGAGGCAGATGGCAATGCAGCCAGCCACCCGTCAGACATGCTGAATCTTTCCTGGTAAGCGCACCTCATGCTGCAACATACTTGATTAGAAATGGGTTAAGAGGCTGAAAATACTGGGCCAGGAAGTGTTTAAAAGAATACAGTTTTTGTGTTCTTATTTAGGGGCATAAGCTAGGTAGGCGGCCATGGTGCTGGGGACGCAGTCCCGCTGCTCAAATTACTACTATAAAGGGGGAAATTGAAGAAGGGAAGGATGAAGAAGAAGAGAGAGAGAGAGAGAGAGAGATGGAAGAATGGATGAATTCAATCATTCATTGGAAAAATGAGTGAACCAAAGAATGAGGAGACCTAGAAGGATAAAATGTGTTGCATTCCCTGTGAGAGTCAGGTCATATGAAAGATGGACATTGTTTTGCACTGAGGAGGAGGATTTTTCCATTTTGCCTTCTTTGTGCTCCAAGCCCAGCCACAAGAGTGATGATGAGGACTGGGAGAAGAAGAGGTGACGGTGTACCAGAATTCCCTGGTATAAGTTATCACCCAAATTGTAGCCAAATCACCTGACCTGAGACAGCTGATGTACATGCTGGACCCTAACTGGCAGTTTGACAACTCTAACATTTTAACCAAGTTTGTGAAGATCAAGGAAGCAAAAATCGCCCCATTACAGGATGGCTGGATCCTTACATGATGGGAGTCAGACATCAATACCATACTGGTATTTGGGGGTCTGATGGGTTTGTGGGGTCTTTGCCACACTCCACCTAGCATCAGGGATTCCCTCGTTTACTGATTTGATGGAGATCGGTGCATTCATCATATGTGTGCATGTCACACATTAGTGGGCATCAATGTGTACATGTTTATCCTGTGTGTGGATGCGTCTGTCGATGAGATTTATAGCCCAAGTCCTACAGAACATGATCAATGAAAGGGAACACTGTTTTCCAGATATGACAGGGCAATTATTTAAATGAACTCACAAGGGTTGGATGGCATGCAAAGGACCAATGAGATTTCAAGGAATACCGAATCCAGGCACGACAAAGTAGGTGGCAGACAGAATTCTGACCAAAGGAAGTAGATAGTGTGACGTCCATCCCACAGCAGAAGAGCAACTGGGCGGAGACACTTTTCTCTAAGCAGGAGGCTCCTGGTCACTCAAAATGCTCCAGTGGAGTTCTAACATCCAGTGACTTACAGCCAGTACGAATTAAACTATTCATCAAATGAAACCTAATTTCTCTGATTTTGAGTATACATTTGTGTCCCTTCCTGATTAATCTACTCTTTATCCTCTTAAGTCCCAATACCTCACTCTGATATCTGTCACATCTTTCCAGTTGACATGTTTTTCCCTCAAGCTTTATCCCGCCCCGAGATCCTACAACTTTTGTCCCCTCTCCACTACTCCATAGACAGCCATCTTGTCCTTTACCACACCAAGCATTCCCAGTCCATCCTCTCCAAGGGGAAAGACCATAAATCCTGCTTTGTTTTGAGGCATGTATTTCTGTGATGTCCCATCCACCAAACATAATCCATCATTCACCAAAGAACAAAACATGTTCACAAATTTTTATTTTTCGAGCAAGAATATTCCATTGGAAAAAAATACCAGGATTAATAGAAGACTTGCGGTATCTCTGAAAAAAACACATTCCCCAAACACAGTTTTAAGTGTGCTCCTCAAATTTTGAGAATTTCTCTTTAACAGATCTTCACCAAATCGTAGACATAGATATGGAAGTCATTATTAAACTTGATGAAATACACAGAAGGTTTGGTGGGAACTTGGCAAATAATTTTACCTATCTCTTGGGTTCCATCTTTTTTGTTGTACTGCACACCTTTGCCTGCCAAGGAATCCCTGCCTAATTAAAAAGTCACCTATACTGGAGGACATTCAGGCATGATGTGGACGTTGCCTTCAATGGAGTCATCAAGATGGTGGTAAAGGTACAGGACTGGATCATTCTCCTTGACAATGTAGAAACAGGTCATCCTGGTCTGCACCTCATCTGGGACCATGACACTGCACTCATCCTTAGAGCCTGGCATGATGTGGAGGTTGCCTTCAAGGTAGTCATCCAGGAGGTGGTAAACATACACGACTGGATCTTTCTTGTAGGTAATATAGAACCAGGTCTTCATGATTGGCACCTCCTCTAGGACCATCCCATTCCAGTCTTCCTTAGAGCCATTTGTGCCCGTGGATGTATGTTTCACTGCTCTGCCAACTATGGTGTTTGACAGATGAGTGTCTGTCACCTGAGGAAATGGCACATTATTAGGCAGGATCTTAAGGTTTAAAATCCTTTCATCGCTGTGAAGCTCCAAGCCATAGACACAATTAATCCCATCATATTTCAACAAATAGAGAGAGGGATATATTGGCAGTTGATCGAGAATGATGGCTTTCCACTGGGTGACTGGTTCATTGGCTTCCTTCCAGCCATGAGAAATTCGGCGGCCAACAATATTCTCCAGGGCCTCAAAAGGCTTACTCAGTTTTTGCTTCTGGAGAGTTGGCCCATTCTTCTTCTGGAGAGGTGGCATGCATCTCATACTAAGAGGCATCTTTATCATGGTGGTAGATTTACTGAGATAGGCCACAACACTCCTGTTCCACTGTCTCTTGGCTCTCTTTCTGTTCTTGGGCTTCATAGCTGCCAATCTCTGCATTGGAAGAATTCTTCAGTTTCAATCAGACACAAAGTGGTTTCCTCAACCATAAGTGCCTGCAAGGTTAAGAAGGGGAGGATGCGATGTCAAGATTCTTTTCTGGAAGATCTTTGGGGAAGGTGATAAAGGCAGTGCTGAATAGATTTGGGCTGCCTAAATGTAATTTGGTCTTAAGAAATACATAGGAAAATTATCAAACTATTGTCTACAGCTCAGTATATGTGTATCAGAGACATATTCCTGCTACCCAAAGGCAATGGACCTCTACTGAGAAACCAAATCCGGACTGACTGTGTCAATGAGAGGAGACTGGATGCTTATGCCCAAAGTGAGAAAGAAAAATCTGAACAGATGGCAAAGAATTCGAAGGACAGCCACTTCTCTCCTTCCCACTCAAGCTGTTGGTTAGGTGGTTGATCCAAAACCACCTGCCCAAGGTCATGGCACTCCAGTCCACTGGTTCTATGTATTGTGTCTCCTGATCCAGAACCAGGTTTATTACATAACGCCATTCCATGTCTTCACTAGAGAAGTGAGTTTTGTGAGACAAACTGCAAAAATAAAGACTCATTAATCTGGGCAACAGCACCATTTAGAAATAATTAATATCTTTTAAAACACATATGGGCAAAGAGGATCTTCGCCCCTTTCATGAACTGATGAATTGGACATTGATAGCAAAGATAAAGTGGGAAGATTACCTGGCATTCACTGTCCCCACAGCTATCAAATATAGAAGCTGTTAACAACATAAATTTTAGACTCACAGGAGATTTGAAGGAAACCTCTCTGGGACTACAGAGGTCCCTGTTTCTTCCTAAACATATTTACCAAAAGATAATGTCTTGGCTCTCCAGATTCCATCTTCTGGAAATGTTCAGCTGCCTAATCCTGTTGAACAGTTGTGGAGCCCAAGAGCTGAACTCACCTCCTCAGCAACCGTGAAGATAGTAAGCCCACCTTCACAGAAGACTAGTGCTTCATGTGGAACAGTGTTGCCACCCCCAACCAAAGCTTTGTGACATCATCAAGACTCTACTTAGGTCATTAAACCCCTCATAGGCAGTTTCCTTCCCTACTAACCCACAAAAATATCCAGCATACATGTCCTATAATGCTGCTCACACAGCCCCCTGGAGACCCAAAATAAAACCTCACTCATCTTCCCAAATACATGAGTCATATTTTTCCAGGTAACCCAATCTCTTTTTGTGCCTTTTCTGTAAAAAAGTCTTTGGTGTCTGAGTCAACAACTCACATGAATGTTTTTTTTTCCTAGCTCCAATCTCTTTATTGGTTATTTTCTATTGATTTTTATATTACTTCATAATAAAGAATATCAAAATTTTCACTTCGTTTCCTACCCCCAAATTCTACTCTCTCCCCCACCAAACCTCTCCACTCCTACGCAAATCCAAATTGAGGGTGGAGTACCTTGACCTGTTTGAAGTCCAAGCCCAAACTTCATCCATCGACATTTAGGAAGGTATGCATCCACATAGAATAGGATCACAAAGAAGCTTGTATATGAAGTGCAGATAAATGCCAGTGCCATTACCATTGGCTTCTCAGTCTGCCCCAATTGTCAGCCACATTCAGAGCTTCCACTTCGATTCCATGTTCTTTCATTCCCAGGCCACTGTTTTAGTTGAAACCCCCTTTGTTCAGGCACAGTGTCTCAGTGTGTGGACCAAGCCATTTTATTCCTGACATCCTTGCACTTATTCTCCCTCAGTCGGCTATTCAACTGGAGCTTGGAAGCTCCATCTAGTTTTCTGATTTTTACCCTGACTTGATCTCCATCTTGGCCATACAAAAGTTCCATGGTGATATTCAAGATAGTCATCAGTCTGACTATAGGATAAGGCACCCATTGTGACTATAGACATGGCACAGTGCAGTCAAGCACTCCACACCTGCCCAAGTTCCTCTAGGGGGTCACCCCAGGCCTCTAAGAACCCCTCGAGAGATAATGATCTTGACAACCCCAGAATGGCCTACTCAATTAATATCATCAGTGTATGTGCATTAAATTTTGTGTGTGTGTGTGTGTGTGTGTTTAAATCACAATAAAAACAAATGGATTGTAATATTGAAATTTCTTCTCATCTTGAGAAGAATGTTTGCTACAGAAATACTGTCATAGTAGTACTGAGAGTGTAAGCTGTCTCAGCAAGGAGAAGTAACTAGAGGAATCCCCGAGGAGTTAGGCTCAGTGTCCCAGGAATTACGCCCAAGGAAAGTCAATGAACTCATGGATGGAAGATAAAACTCAGCCTAAATAACACTCCAAATCATTTAGGTGGAACATGAGATACTCTTGCAACAGTTTCAAGATGTCAAAAATGCCTGGACTAGAACATAAGGGGAACACAATGATGTGGAGCTGAGAGTGCATGGCAAAACTGATTGGATCTGGCTAAAATTATGGACGCAAACCAAGGAAACCACCAGGGGGACAAAACCCTAAGAAATCTGTATGACAACATGTCATGTTTACAATTCTGTGATTTTTAGGCAAAGGAAAGATCCTAAATATGTCACTGCCACACTGGTGATGATTAACCCATTCCATCGTAGGGTGACTCCCTGATGTGTATAAGTTAACCTGTCTATTCTGTCTATTTAGTTACAGGGAAATTTGCATTGTTTGCAGTGATTAACTAACAGCATCATTTACTGAGAAGCAAAGGCAAGGCAAAGCAATCATAGACATGTTGTTGAATGCTGATGATGTTATTGGGAGTTTTGTGGGTATTTTCTTAAATGGAAATCATCGGTGACTCTCATGCATGAAGAGATCCTATCTCTGTGATGTGTCTGGAAGGACTGAAATAAATAAATTAAAATAGTTTTTTTTTTCTCACCATCTAGTAACATTTTTTTTTGCTATATCCAAATAAGTGTGTTGCATGAGTTTCTTCCACTCCTTCAGCCAATAGCCACTGAGATACCAGCCCATTGAGGTGTGGTCTCTCTTTCAAAAACCAACATTTACCTTCAGCTTGATCTCTTGCTTCCAGTTTCCCTTCCGGCCTCTATGCTTCTTTCCTGATCCCGCTGAGGGTTTTTGTCAGGGATGGTCATCTGTAAGTTTTTGCCCTTTAAATATATAATCATTCTATTAATCACAATTCTAAACTGATGTGGGGGATTATTTGACTAAGGAAAGGAGAAAGCATACATAGAGGCAGGAAACCTTACCTTTGCAAATGACCCATTTGGAGGCCCTACTTCAGGCTCCTCTCTTCTCCTATTCTTGTTTTTTTTTATAAGTTTAGGACAAGATTAAAACTCAATATAAATGTCTGTGAACACTGAATGAGTTAAGTATGTGTGACCACCTTGATGTCTGCCTGTCTGACAACAGGGGCAGAGTTCATGGGCATCTGACGCATAGCACAGGATTGTCAGCAATCAATCTCTGGTCCACCTAACTCTGCAGCATAAGAGTTGTCATGGTTGCTCATCTGATCTTCTTCATATGATCTCCATCCACAGAGATGTCAAAAAAATCCTCCCCTGAAAAGGCAAGTTCTTTTCCAATGAAAGATTATACAGCAGAAGAGACATGGAAGGTTTATTAGGGCAAGCTCTTGAAAGGATAAAGTGATGGTAGTAATTCATTGCTTAATTAAATAAAGAAACTGCTTCCCCTGTTAATTTAGAACATAGGTGGGAGGAGAAAGATAACAGAATGCTGGGAGAAAGAAGCAGTGTGCTCAGAGACACCATGATCCACTCTCGTGGGAAGACGTGATAGCTCTCCTCTCTGAGGCAGAGGGCAATGCAGCCAGCAACCAGGTTAGACCTGTTGAATCTTTCTGGTGAGCACACTCGTGATGCTACATAGATTATTAGAAATGGGTTAATAGGCTAAACTAATGGGCCAGGCAGTGTTTAAATGAATCGTTTGTGTGTAATTATTTCTGGACATTAGCTAGCGAGGCTGCCCTGGTGCTGGTTACACAGCTCCACTGCTCAAATTACTACAGAATGGCACTCAGACATGTGGAAAACTGAATCCACTGAAAGCTTGAGAAAGCCCGGGAAAGAGTAAAGCATGTTTTCTTTTTAGCAGCTATATCTCGGGTCTGCACTACTTGCTAGTAGCAAGCAAGCACACTCATTTAAGAGAAGATTCCTGACTCACCTTCAGCTGCAAAACCCTGCTGCTGTTAAGTGGTCCTGCCACGAAACATTTAAATGGTGTTGATAAAAGCCAGCTGAATGCTTGTTTGTTTAATGCATTAGCAGGAAAAAAAACTGTGATGTTTTAAAATGCCGGAATTCTGGGCCATCCTGCCAGAACAAACTCTGACTGTTTGAGTCAGGAGGGCCAGCTACAAAGAGAGGGCTTGAGTGTTGTCTTTTGCAGCTTGTTTGATGGCAAGGACCTTGAAACACTGTAGACTTGTGGCACTGAATGCGGCTCTGGCCAGTACCTCAGCCATAAGGTGGAATGACATAAAGCTAAGGAATAGGCTACATCTAGCTGGCAAAGCCACCTTTTCTTCATATTGAGATTGCTGTGTAATTTAAGGATTCATGTGGTCAAAAAAACAAAGAGAGATATTGAGTAAAGAGAGATTCAAAGACAAAGAAAAGTTTTAAATGATTTACAGTGTGTTAAAAATATGTGCAGGCTAAAAGTTGAAGTTCTTAAAGTTAAAATAAAATGAAGAGAGTTGTTGGTTGCAGTAGTACACACCTTTAATCCCAACACTTGGGAGGCAGAGAGAGATTGACCTCTGTAACTTCAAGGTGTGGTAGCACATACCTTTAATCCCAGTGCCGAGAAGGCAGAGACAAACAGGTCTCTATGAATTCAGGTGTAG